TCACCTTTTAGTCCTGCATATTTTGATTAAGTTTCCTCCCCCTCCCTTTCTCACCTGACTCCTTTCTTTACCTGCAGCTTGTTAGGGTAGCTACCTGCTGCATTCTCTCAATAATTCAATATTACTTAATAAGCATTTAAATCTCAAATCATCTTGGGCTGTAATTCTTCAATTCCCAACTTACTATGTTTCTCTCCCAATGTGCTCTCTTTTATCAATTTAACTGGACCTACCTTCCTGATCTCAACCAGAAAATGGGTATCAAAACTGAGCCAGGGCTAGGTGAGGTTGAGGAAGGGTCTGCATCAGCCTTCAACATGAGCTGATTGCATCCCATAACTGGTAAAGGAATATGACCAATAAATAAAAATGGGAAACTAAAACAAAGCCCCGCACCTTAATTTGGCAACCATAGGAGTATGTCTTATATAGACCCTGAGTGCCAACAGAAGTACTCAGGTTCAGCTGTCAATGCTATCACATGCATGTACAATGGGCCACAACCCACAAGGACAAGAAAAACACTCGTCAAACCTTTTAACTTTTTCAGTGATGTCCTAGAAAGTAAAGAATGCACATATATCTCTTCTTTTTTATAGAAAATGTAGGCACAGTTGCAATAGTAAGATTCAGACCCCAGACTTCTTGCATACTACATAGAGGCTTTACTACTGTACTATATAGTCTCACAGGAATGTCTATCAGTTAAACTCACCAAATTGCTGCTTGACCTCAGGACTGCTCAGATCAAAGTTTTTCAAAGAATCCATCATGCGACTGTCCCATTCACCATTTCCCCCCATATTGTTTCTGGACATGCACAGGATTAAAATAATCAGCCATTAAGTATTTTATATTGTCTGCATATCACATAAAAATATTATAAGAACCTCAAAAGTTAAAATCATGTCCAAGAACAGAAAACTAGAATTCCATACACTTCGAGTATCGAATTTTTACAAATTCTTCTCTCATAATTTCATGCATATGCAGACGCTATGCAACTTAATGAAAGAAAAAATAAACATAACACAGCCAGATTCTTCTCCAGTAGACATGGATAAATTTTACATAATCTGGAAGATTTGATAAGGTAAGGTCCGTAAGGAGTTGATTACAAGCATGCTTGATTCCAGAGTTTCTTGTACCAGAATATGATTGAGAGAGCAGTTGACCCTCCTTGGTGACTACATTACAAATCCATAAGTACCTAGACAGGTCTCACCTAAATCATCACTTGGAGAGGTACATGGGTTCAGGTGTCCTAGAGTCATAGACATGAACATAACTGGTTCAACACAGCTTTTTTGCACATCATAACATAGTATCATAACACAGTAAAAGAAGTGACAGGAAAATGTCCTAGAAAGGGCTCTTCAAACACTAATGTGAGTTTTCAATGACAATAGGAGATAATGCAGGGAAATAGACTTGTATTTCAGGAAATTTCTACTTGGACTTGGATTAGGGATTGAATTTGATTGGAAAGAACCAATTACAATTTAAATTAAATTCTAGATGGAATATAATTATAATTGATAATCCAAGTCAAAGAAGAAGTTCCACATGAATTCAAGAGTGGAGAAAGCTCTTTAAATACCCCTTGAGAGGTTTATTGTAAATCAAGCCATAGGGAAGCCAAGGAGAGTTGCATATTTTGAGCCATAGGGAGAAGAGAATTAGAATTGGTAATCCAAGTTAAAGGAGGAGTAATACATGAATTCAAGAGAGGGAAAAGCTCTTTAGATACCCCTTGAGAGGTTTATTGTAAATCAAGCCATAGGGAAGCCAAGGAGAGTTGCATATTGCGAGCCATAGGGAGAAGAGAATTAGAATTGATAATGCAAGTTAAAGGAGTAATACATGAATTCAAGAGAGGGGAAAGCTCTTTAGAAACCCCTTGAGAGGTTTATTGTAAATCAAGCAATAGGGAAGCCAATGAGAGTTGCATATTGTAAGAGAGATGTAGAGAGAACTAAAGGGGAAAATCAAAGGTATGTAAGAGATTTTTTGGTGAGATTAAGAGAGAATTTATTGTGGGATCTATCTAGATCACAAGAATAGATTATCTTCTAAATCTCTAAAGAAGACTCAAATCTCTCCCCCATGGACATGGATGATTGCCCAACCACAAATCCTTTGTCATTGTTCTCTTGTTTATTTTTTCCACAAGTTTCCTCCGGGTTTCCTATATCGCTTGGTAATCGATGGGTCTACGAAGGAGGAGATCTAGTTGAGGGTTTCAGTGGTGCTTCGCCAGGCAATGCTTCTGCATTGAACGTCGGATGGTGGCCACGATCAGTGTCGAGTTGTGGGTGGTGTGCGCCAACAGATAAATGATACTCGTGAATGATTGCTCTTTATATTCTCCCTTAAGAATCCTTTCCACATTCTTCACGGCTCTAGGCCATACATGTCCAAGCACCGTATCATATTCTCACGTCTGGCACTACAAATTTTAAAATTTCACTATTACCATTGCCCCACATATCATAGTTGTCTGGATCTTGTAATGTTTGAAAACCAATATTCTAGTCTAACCAAAACTAACAAATATCATATAGATAAAATCAACACATTTAATCAGCGACAAGATTTCCTTAAAAGAGCTGTTGCAATTTTCAATGAGAAAAAAAACATAGGTGTAAGTGTGTAACTATTAACTAATATTTATGGAGGAAAAGCATATCTATGTAAATTGTATTAATTTCCTTGGTGGAACTTCATTGAGATTATACCCAGAAGCAAATCTATAGCCACTAACGAATGTACAAAATACTGAAACGTAAAACTTACAGCATGTCTTGCAGCTGTTGGCGATATTCGGGGTTTTGTATCATCCCTGAAAATATGATCAAACATTAAGTTGTTTCCGTAAGGACTGCATCTTACTGGACAGCGAACATGCTTACTCTAATAAACCCAAACGAGAGGAAAATGGGAAAAAGCTTGGCACATTCTTGTAAGAAAACATAACAAGGAACATACACTTAAAAGTAGTGGGGTTCCTCATCTCCTCAGGTAAATGCCTGCATCATATATAAGAATTGAATAAGTCATACTGAAAGCTAAAGTAAATGAAAATAACCAAAAGTTTGTCAAAATAAAAATAAAAATAAAAATAAAAAAATGCAAATTAAATGTAAAAAAGGTAAAAAGATAACTACCGAAGTGCACATGCTGAGAAACAGAAAATTATTCAACATGCATCATGCAAGCAGAATGTAGCACAAGAAACTATTAAAGCTTTAAAGACACAAGTAGATACCGAATCAGCAGAAAATGAAAATTTTAGAACAGAGAAAATGTATCCTTCCAATCAGCTTAAAGTCATAAACCTTCTCTCAGAAAGGAATGCAGTAATAAAGCACAATTCAAATCAATAAATCCTCCAAAATTGATAAAACTTTCATAAACCTCAGCCTCAAGACAGCCCTATATGAGCATGCAAAATTACCAGAAAAGACAAGTATGGTAAAGAGGAAGGTGCAGTGTATAGCCAAGAAAAGCGAAGCTCAGCAATCTCAGAGTGCCATTCCGTAGACTGGGAATGAGTATGACTAAAACGTGTTTGAAAAGATTTCTAGGGAGACATGGCGTAGACAAATAACCAAATAATATCACGGTATAATTCTAGTAGGCATAAGTGTCCTATTGGGCCCAAATAGGTTGCTTAGAGTTGATCATCTAACAAAAAAAGGGACACAGTTTATACTCTGAAGGAATAGTAAGCATGTTAATTTCCACTAATCAGAGTGCACCATGGACCATTCAGTTTAGGGTTCAGACCATCTATTATTTTTGTTGGTTATGCCATCAGAAATTACGACAGATTAGGTCAATTCTGAGTAAATTATGTCATAGATAATCAGAGGAAAGCATCTTCACTTCAATAAAGATATATAGAATTACGTCAAAATAAATCAGATAGTTATGCCATCCCGTTGTAGCTCGTAATTGTAGTGCATAGATCATAATGGATGTTACATTGCTGCACTCTTAATCCATGTGGTCAACAACCAATTAATACGTAAAATTTAACAGCTCAAAAGGAAAGATTAATGAGCAATGAGGTCTGATCAGAACGAAGGTGAAAACCTTTAGGCAAAATAGCTTTTTGTTCAGGTCATAATAAAAAAAATGTGTTCGTCCTCTTTCAAATGAGCATGTGAGTCAGGCTTTCGAGGAGCATAAATTTGCCATTGCAGGAGTATAAGAAGGCAGTCAAGTGGATACAAAATACCATACACATCCACTACATACTTGCGATATGTAGTAGACACATAGCAGAATACAGAAAATTAATTGATGTATAAAGCCTCACATATTGCAAAGTAGAAAAAAATTACCAGTTCAGCAAACATATGTCAAAATCAGCTATAAAAAAATTTATTGGCACACATTTAGTATTTAAAAATGCAGTCAAGTAATACTAGCAGTAAATTAGTGATCAGCTTACGGATAAACCATCTTCTGCACAGTTGGATCTTCCATCATTTTCTCCAATGCTTCAACTGATAGAACAGAGGGTGTTTTACCTAATTGTACATGCACAAGAGTACATTAGACGTAATCCAGTGAAAAATTAATCAAATTAATAAAGTCGTAGATTCGCCAGAGCAGAAATCTAACAGAACAAAACAAAAGTTGCACATGTGTTATTAGATGAGGAAAGCGAAGATTAGGTAACTAAAGAACTAATTATTCAAACTGATGATGCATAGAAAAAGGCTGCATTACTGATTAACAGTAGACTAGGCAGCATTTGAAATATCAGGCAGGTATTTGTACGGAATGAATGACAGGTGGGCAGCACGCAAGCAAATACTTTTTCACCATCAGTGAGAGGAGTTATTTTTGTTCTATTTTTAGAAAATCATTTTTTTGTTACCAATTTGATCATAGATGAAAGATGTGGGAATTGTTCTTGTATACAACCATTTCAAAACAAGCAGATCATGAAGAACTGAGTGGATTAACTGCCATATAATGGTCCATAATGAGATTTTTAGCTGACTCCTTACGAAGTTAACAGAGGTGTCAGCCATAAAAACACCTTACCCCCCCCCGCAGGGGGGGGGGCGGGTGCGGCCAACACACACAGAGGGAGGGAGGGATTAGGCAAACAGACTGTTGGGGATAAAGGAACAATCTCCTCTCCCACAATAATCCTCCAACGAGAGCAACGGACTCAATATCAGGACCACCACAAATCTACATTAAATTAGTCAAGTCAAGACAGCAATGCTGTAGGAAATACAGAAGGCAAATATACTTAGTCATGTTGACAGAGGAGATAGCCCTCAATAGTGTGGAAGAATATGATTCATGTAGCCAATCCTAGAAATCAGGGACAAAGGCTTTGCCACTGTTGTCGTTGTATGCAAATAAAAAATTATTCAACCCATCAACCTACCAGATTGTGATTGATCAGTAGAAGAATGTGATTCCTGTGCAGCAGACACTCCGTTTGGTGTAGCCTTAAAAAATTATAGCAGAATGTATCAACAGCTATATTTTAAGGCATCAGCCCATTAAGTCATATAGAATGGCAACGAAACTTACTTCTTTTTCAGAATTAACATTGCTTGACGTACTGGTGTTTACTGAATATCCTGAATCCTTCCGCGTGTCTTCTTCTGGAGAAACATCTATAAAAGCTGCAAAATGAATATTAACAGAGATTACAGGAAATATATCCATAGAATGGAGAAACGGCTACATTAAGAAGTTAAACCTTTCATGACTTTTACTAGAAGAGAAAGGTACGCCAAGTACATATAGATATACAGATTTGCAATCAATCATGGGTAAACAATGTTCTATTATGACATTCTGCATATGATGCATAAGGTATGTAAAAGTCTAATGAACAGAAAGAAACTTGAGAAAGTAAATGAGCTTTTTGAACAATCAAAAAGCTAGAACAGTAGTATGATCAAAAGCTAAATATCAGTTTATTAAACTTTTTCCCCCTTAGATATTTTGCCAACTCACCCAGAAAGATGGAGGTAGAGAGAGAGAGGAAAGCAAATGTCCTGTTAATCTTTGAAATCATACATGTTTCTTCAAGAAGCCCTATAACTAGCTTGTATAAGATGCTTAAGACACCCCTAGCTTATCATTTCTCTTTGAAAGATACAAAAAAAATTGGTATATGCAATAAAAGCATAAGTTTTTTGTATGGAAATTCAATTCAAGATTCAAGGTCATGATTTTTGGACATTTGATCAGGGAAAAACAAAAAAAGGCCCATAAATTTATCTGAACCAAGTTTTATCTAGCTTGTAGGTTAACTCTGATCCTCCTAATGAAGATCCAATCTGATTGGTGGAGATGGTACTAAATTTGCATCCATCTCAATTTAAGGAGAATTTAGTTAACGGTGAACAGAAATTTTCACACGGCGCTTTTGATATGATTTGGCAGTGCAACCTACCAGCCTAGCTCAACTTGTCTCACATTAATGATGCACACAGAGTTGAACATTTCTAACATAAAACATGTACAGTCATATATTAGTTATGTATTTTGCAGAACTTAGGAATTGTAAACTTTCCAGAGGGTAAGAAGAAATGGTAGAACTAGAAAATTTCGAACACCTTTTAGCTATTTAATGTCTTCAAGATTGCAGATGGGAGTAAAAGTTGCATTATGCAGTAAAATAACACGAATGCATGCACATGAATCTAAAGAAACATCAAACAGTGAAAAAAGATTGTTAAAACCTCCTTTAAAATTCATTGTAAAATGTATATTGTCAAGCCAACAATAGAAAAACGTGAAAATATTTGATAAAAAAAGAATATAACATAAATAAAATCACCATACACGAGTGATCTAATTTCAGATATAAAAATAAAGCTGCAAATTTCAAGAAAACAAGATACCATATTTCTTCTCTTCCTTTTGGGTAGCTGGCTCATCTTTGACTTCAGCAGGTGGAGTTGCTTCCACTTTAGTTGTAGAGACGTCTACTGTAACAGCTGGTTGTGAAGCAACATGTGTCACTGATGGAATATTTGAGAATGATGGTGATGGAGTACTTGAAACTGATGCTGATGTAGGGGGGAATGGGAAGGGTGATCCTTGGGGAAAGGCAGCATTACTGAATTGACTATTTTGTGGTGCTGCTTGACCCATCATTGTCTTGAAAGCTTGCTGCATTGCATATTGCTGCATGAAACAAAGGAAACTTACGGTCATGAGGTGTCTGTCATGTAAAAAAATTAAAAAACAGAAAAGTAGCAGGCGCTCCCGGCATGTTGACATTGAAGATATGCAGGCATGATCTCGAAAGTCGAAACATACATGTGAGGAGAAATTGATCAAAGTAAATAACTATCTCCTTTTAAAGGAAGAGCAGATTTATACATCCTACCCTACCATAAGATTGCATTTAAAGCGTATAATGTATATAATACTGTGGCAAAGGAAATATATGCCCATTTTCACTAAATTTTAATGTGAGAACCTATGTGAATTTTCACATATCACAGCATATTGGCTACAGACACATTCAGCATCCCCCTAAGAGCCACTAAACGTCAAATTGAATGTAGCAAATGGAAACATATGGGACATGATTCTAGTGGTAATTTAAGTGCTATACAACAAACTTGTGTTGAAGATATGAGACTGCGAACAACGGAGACCAGAAGGTATGACAAAGAAGGAAGAAAAGTTATGGCATATAAATTCACCATAGCACTGAGTTCAAGAATAATGTCTGAGGTTGGATAACAGAGAGAATAAACATGACAAAAGTTTAATGATTCCATAATAGATGTAACCTGCAATCTTTAGCTCCAATTATTACAGGTTTGGAGAAATGATGAAGATCTAGCACATCAAAAGTGGAATTGTTTTACTGCCACTGCCAGCACTAAACCTCACATTAGAGGAATTATGGCATCACCAGCTGCATGCATAAGCACATGCATCCTTGCAACATTCAGCTATATGATTTGGATATGCTCACCTTTACTTTTGTTGCGACCTGCCAAATCAGTCAAGATTGTCAAAACCTGATCACAGAGGTCATTTAGAGCAGATGACAAGGACAAGGAACAAAGTCAAACTAACCAAATAATCTCACCATAGAGAACAGTGCCGAGATCCCAACTCCAACTCCTATCCAGAAAAGAGGTGAGCCTCTAAATTGTTCCAACAAAAGATTAAGAAATGAAGATTAATTACTCCCAGTGAAAAGAATTACAAGAAGGGAAAAGCATGGAGGAAACAGCAGTCATTAAAGTTAGATTAAGAAAAAGAATAATGAACTTACATGTATGATGGTGGGGGTGGCACAGGAAGTGGTGGCGTACCGCTAGCTGTAGACATCTCACTGATTTTTGAAGATGAAATTCTTGCAAATTTGTATGTATCTGATTCCAGTGCATAAAACAGCGTTACATAAAAAACACAAATAGAACAAAAATGTAATGTGAAACAGATGCATATGCAAATACAAAAAAAGAATGCAAGATATAAGTGATACAGCTCCAGAAACGAGAAAATAAGATTATCATGTAATACATTTTGAAGTACCAAAATAAGAATTTAATCATACGGCAAGAAGACCCAAGAGCAACCCAAAGTCCCAAACAAAAAGCATCTCTCCAATAGGTAGCTTGATGTAGAACTCCGTTTAATGCTCAACCTTACAATTCACTTTAATAGGCAAATATGAGATGCTGTCAATGATGAAAACAAGTTGAAGCCATCGACCCATTAGCTTGTCTCCCACAAATCCGAAAGGGCTTCTAATGAGAACAATAATTGAAAATCTTCCATATTAGCTTAGTTTTAATTTTTGAATTTTGAATTTTTAAATTCTGAATTGTTGTTTAATTTAGTAGTTATTCAGTGAGAGATTTGAGGGATTTTTATTTGTTTCCATTTTGTTTGCACGTTGTGTGCACGTAGTAGTTTTCCTTCATAAATAAGGTTGTAAGAGGTTATTGAGAAGAGAATGATGAATTGAATGAAAATTAAGTTCTTCTCAAATGAGAATTTCTTTGTATTTGGTGTATGAAACCCAAATGCCAGTTCTAGGTGTGTGAAACCCTAGTTCCTTATCCCAAAAGCCATCCATCCCTACACCCTCCCTCACAGATCCATCTCCACCACTCGTTTACAAATAAAAAAATAATAATAATAAAATCATGTTCATCTTCTTTCCCCCAACCACCCCTCAAACTCCCGTCAGCCCCAAAAGCCCTGAAACCCCTTGCCTTCCCTCTTCCCTAAGCAGCACTGCCTCCTCCTTTCCTCCTCTGCCAGCGACGAGATCGATCGATCTTCTCCACCTCGGCGAGTTCGATCGCCCGCATCAGCACCGCTACTCCTCCACCGCCGTCTGTCATGTCCGGCCGCCGACTGTCCATCCTGACGGCCGCCGACTGTTTGTCCCGACGCCCGACCACCAGCGCTTCAACCTCGACTTTCACTTGTCTTCAAATCTGTTTGTTGCCTAAACTGAAGATCACATTTAGAATCAATTAATCATATTGATTACAATCAGCGGTTAATTCAAAGGAGTGGTTAATCTAAGGCTTATAACTCTGGCATGTGAGTGAAGACTTCACCTATTTGGAATCTGACCACATCCTCATCAGAGAGGATAAGCTCGTTCCCCACACTCTCCAAACTTTCATTAATTCTTTGGCGGCCTTGATCTCATCCTCAAGCTCATGGAATTGATTGTTGAGTCTCCCAAATTTGTTGATGTTCTGTTGGATTTCCCACGTCACCTGCGTCTGTGAACCATCCCCTGCTGCATTGTCTTCGGACCGGCGCTCGTTACTGATTCGCGGATTCGGAGTTGTGGGCTTGTTTGATATGTTGGGCTTTGGGCTTCACTGTAGCAGCTAATAGGTTTTGAATTTTCTCAACGTTTCTGAATATTAATCTACTGAGGTTTCGTTTCTCTCACTAGGTATTTTCTGTTGATTTTAATTTATTAGTTAATTACATGAGTATTACATCTCTAAATTCTTATCATATATTCACTGCTTAAATTATATTGGTGAGTTATGAGTAACTGAGCATGTGACTATTGTAAATTTGATATTGATTTTAGAACATGTAATGATAATGAATACTACGATTAAATTGATTGAGATTGGAATTGTTCGTGATTATGATGCAAGTCTTGTTAAAACTCATTTGTCACATTAATTGTTTTGAAATTAATTTCCTGCCGAATATAATAATTTTTTGGCGAACGGCGCGTTGTTCGAATTAGGTCCTGATTCCAATAGACCCCCTCCCTTTTTTCGCATCAGCTTCCTTTTCATTTTCTTTTTTATTGTGAAGTAGTAAAGGTTACATGAACAAAAAGGGTTGGACTATCACCCTGACAACATAACAACCCTGATTAAGAGAGGCAAATGCACATGGCTAAAGTTACATAGTACGCGGTACATAGCTGGTTGTACGAATTTGGGTATGCAATTCGCTTCTTAAAATATAGTTTCAAGCGGATGTAGCTTGATTCAGCATGCATGTTCGGCCAATGATATGTTGGGTGCCCTTAGCATTTTTTAATGTGTATGGTAGAAGATTAGAAACTAAAAAGCTAATTATGCATTTCAGCATTATTTCATACAAAATACTTAAGTGTTGCTTTTTGTGGAATTCTTTTTTTTTTCTTTTCACATAGTTCGTGCTCGTGCTAGGATCATAGTTTCATTTTACGTTTTATTAACAAAGATATTCAGTTACAGTAAAATCTTGACTCATATATTATATTGTGAGCCTCCCATCACTCGCACATCTTGCATTGCGTCTTAAGCATATGCACTTATAAGGATTCTCAACACCACATACTTGTAAGCAGTATGCTAATTTTGGGGAACCAATTGGTGTATCAAAGGGAATCGGTTCTCAAATGTACCAGGAATCGGTTCGCAGGAAGTGTACGACAATTCGAGGGAGGTCCAGGGAATCACGCAACTATGCGCATGGCTCACCCTAGTGGTTATCTGGAGCAGAACCCACATATGCAAGGCAACCCAAGAAGTCATCCTACCACATCCAGTTTGGGTTCATCATATCATACGTTGTTTGGGACCTTTCGGTTAGATTACATCACTCTTATGCTAACAAAGAATACCCCCTTCAACAAAGGAGGAGAATATTAACAACAAAACCAAAAATTAATTACAACGATCACCAAAACCAAAAATTAATTACAACGATCACCATGGCAACAGAAAGATAGAATTGAGTTATTACATTTTTCCACAAAGAGAACATGATAATGAACACAAGAGCACGGTATTGTTTACTTATTTGAAATGTGAATTGACCTGGGTTTGCTCAATGATTGAGCCTTCATATCCGTTTATTTCAGCATGTTCTGATCTCTTTTAGTGTACATTTCAAAGGACTACCATGAACTAAAATTGCAGGAAACTACCCTGAACTAATTTTATTAGATAAGACAACCACAAACTTCTAGGAGCATTCTAGTTGTTTACATTAGGAGTTAGGAGTATGTGAAGTAGTTCTCATATTTTTATTATTACGGACCTCCCTCTGGTCATTAATTAAAAGTGATATTCACAACTAGAAAATAGAAAATGGTAAGAAAAAACCTTTTTGCAATTTCATGGGATGAAAATATAAAAGAACCCGATATAGATTTTCCACATTTATCAAACTTGAAAGTTGTCCCATTATGATTCCCAATAGCAAATAATTCTTTTTTTTAAATCAGATATACAAAAAACTCTCAAAATAGATCCCTGATTAAACTCCACTGCAAATCAGATTAGCTCCTCATTTAAAATAAGATATGAATAATTCTAAAAATAAATCCACACTAACTAAACAGATGAAATCCAATCAAACCCATGCTTCTCATTAGTTATATATTGATTTGCCAACATTATGTTCCAGGCCTTACTATTGACATACTGACCAACTGACCACTTCTACATTTTGTCAATCAAAATCAATGCGCTGAAGTCTGGTGACTCACCAGTAGATCTCATTTTTCTACTCACTGTCAATCTTAGTCCAGCCTGTACTTAAAAATGGACACTTTCTAGTTTCTATGATCCGTTTTTAAGACAAATCAACTTTTAGGCCAAATTTTTTTTTGAAGACCATGTGTTTCAAAAAAGACACATGTGGCTGCTCAAGGGCTAGTCACTTCAGTTAGACAGCTGCCTAGGAAGCCCCAACTTCTCCCAAGCCTCCGGATATGTGCCCTGTTAGCCTTTTCGAAAACAATGCTCTGAGAATGCTTATATATGATAGGTAAATCAAGCTTTTGAATGCCTTTTCGAACACAATGCTTTGAGAATGCTTATAATATTATAAGTAAATCAAGCTTATTAAGCTTATTAATCTCCATAAGTTAGTAAATATAATTTAAAATTATAAACTGAAAGCATAGAATTCATGTAACTGACCACGAAATTTTGTCCCAAAATTCTAACACTAAATCAAGTCCTTTTCAATTTAAATGAATAATTTTATAAAGAGGTCAAATCAAAATCTGAACAGGATTGAAAAGAAAAGCATTCATCAGTTTCAAATAATCAGAGATTCTCCAAAAGGATGAGCCTGAAAGGCAAACTTCATTGTCAGGCTAAAAAGGAATTGTTTGAAATTAGTATCCATCTTAAATTGATGAATGGTAATAAGTTGGTGGTTAGATTTGGATATGATAAATTAGCCTTGAGTTGCGTGTGATGGGGAGAGAGAGAGAGAGAGAGGGACAAGCAGACATATCTATACATAGATAGAAGTAGGGACAGGCTTAGGCGTGATGGGGAGAGAGAGAGAGGGACAAGCAGACATATCTATACATAGATAGAAGTAGGGATAGGCTTAGGTGTTAGAGAATTGAGACTTCTCTCCTAATATCATAATTGTGGTCTAATATATGAATTTAGCCTTAAGAATATTTGTTATGGTTTAATATTTTAATTAGTACTTGTTACTTGTTTATAAATTTTAGATTGTTAGTTGAATTTTATAAATTTTTCTATATATAATAATAATTTAAAAAAGTTCCTTGCCGTATCCCTGTATCCTATTTTTTTTTGGATTTTGCCGTATCCCGTATCCGTGTCGTATCTGTGTCCCGTATCCGTATCCATGCATCATAGATGATAATCTACCAAGCAGAACTTGGTGCCAAACAACAAAACCATTGTACACATATATCAGATTAGACTTCAATCCTCCATGATGTTAGTCCTTCATAGGTTATAACCATGATGTTAGTACTTCCGCTACCATTAAGTGGCAATTGACAGTCCTTCGTGGAGATGTCAATAGCAAAGATATGACCTTTTGGTAATCTGAAAAGGTCATATGCATGATTCCTAATTCATTTCCTCAGCAGAAAATGCATGCCTATTCTCTAAGTTCGTTCATCTTTTTTCCTTATTTTCCCTTTTACCTTTAAATTGCAAGGTAATGCTTACTGGTTAGGTGATCATTCTTTGGCAAGACCAATTTTTTTACTATTTTGAAACTATCATCATACCTTATGGACATGAATCGTTAAACCCACTAGTCATTCCCATCTCTAGTCACTCTCATGCACATGATCTAAGCAATAGAAACCCATCATATGATGGACAAATTTTTAAAAAGAACCGTTTTCCAACTTTAATGTGCAAAATCGACCGGTTCAAAAAATAATTAGCAAAATCGACCCTTTTCATTTGAAAAGGATCGATTTAGCTGATGTGAATTTTTTTGGAGTGCACGGGACTGCTGGTCCCGTGCATCCAATCTCTCTCTCCTCACTCACCTGCCCTCAGCTCTATATCTCTCTCTCATTCCCTCACACACACTCTCTCTCTCTCTCATCTCCATTCTCAACTCTCTCTCCCTCAAAACCCACAACCCAAGCTCCTCACTCCGACCAAACTGTCGTCCCGCTCCAGACCACCGCCCCTCGCCGCCCAAGTCGTCGAGCACGCCATCGCCCTCCCTGTTGAGAACATCACTCTCCCTCCCTGCTGAGAGATTTGATTTTCCAAGGCGAGGAGGGCCCAGACCAGACCTCTATTTATTGCCCCCAAACCCATCCTCATTCCCCTCTACAAGAAAACAGAACATAGAAACCTTCTCTCATGCATCTCTCCTCCCTCCTTCCATTTTCTACACCCATCATATTCTAAGTAAACATACCGCACAGCTCTTTGCATTGCCATCATTTTTTGTTAAATACCTGCATAGATATATAGGGCTAAAAAACAAAAGTCTGTCCAATTTGTGCAGGATGGCGGGGGGGGAGGGGGGATGGCTTCTTTGTTAAATACTACGCAGCTCTATCTCTCTCTCATTCCCTCACACACTCTCTCTCTCATCTTCGTTCTCAACTCTCTCTCTCTCCCTCAAAACCCACAACCCAAGCTCCTCACTCCGACCAAACTGCCGCCCCGCTCCAGACCACCGCCCCTCGCCGCCGGGCGGCGAGGGGCGGTGGTCTGGAGCGGGGCGGCAGTTTGGTCGGAGTGAGGAGCTTGGGTTTTGGGTTTTGAGGGAGAGAGAGTTAAGAATGGAGATGAGAGAGAGTGTGTGAGGGGGAGAGAGAGAGCTGAGGGCAGGTGAGTGAGGAGAGAGAGATTGGATGCACGGGACTAGCAGTCCCGTGCACTCCAAAAAACATTCACATCAGCTAAATCGATCCTTTTCAAATAAAAAGGGTCGATTTTGCTAATTATTTTTTGAACCGGTCGATTTTGCACATTAAAGTTGGAAAACGGTTCTTTTTAAAAATTTGTCCTCATATGATTACAACCTCTACAACAATAAAGCCTTTACCCCAAGTTTTTCAGAGTCCATACCCAAATCCTAAGGTTCAGTTCAGGGTCATCTCCTCCATTAAGCTAACAACTACACAAAAGGAAATAATTGCCTCGGCTTCACAAATCCCTAATCTTGCTTATGTTATTTGAAAGGGGAAAAAACCAACTCAGCATCACACCATTATTCACATTTCAATAAAATGAAACCTCTCACCAAAATTCAATCAAAAGTACTCACATTTAAGAGAAGCTTCCAACATCAAAGCACATAATTGTAAACAAATCCCCACAGTTCATATTCAGCGACTGAAATCAAAAATTAAAAAATATATATATATACAATTAGAGAACGACATAAACGAAGTAAAATTACCATTTTGGGAAGTTCTTGAAGAGGCGATAAATCTCTGCCTTCTCCCGCCTCCAACTCGTCGGAGAGTAGGATAAGCCGGCCATCGCCGGCCAAGGATTAGAGAGGGACCGTGTGAGCCGGCGAGGACTGGGAATTTGGAGGACAAGAGCGCAGTATTTTCCATTTAGAGAAAAATTCGAGGTCGAAACCCGAAAACAAAAGAGCAGAGATTTTGGTGGAGGGTTTTGGGGGGAAGAGAGAGAGCGAACAGAGGAAAAAGAGGGAAGACTTGATGGAGATGATAAAAGGGCACGTATGTACCCCCAGATGTAGTTGGTTGAACTTAAATACCCTAACGGTGTGTTTGGGAGTTTACTTTTAGGGAAGGGAAGGAAGGGGAAGGAAGGGGAATTTTTCCCCTTCCTTCCCTTCCCCTCCATTACACCCCAATTTGGGGTGTAAGAATTTGGGCCAAATTTCCCCTCCATTCCCCTCCTCTACCCTCCAAAATAAAACTCCCTGTAAGAATTTGGGCCAAATTTCCCCTCCATTCCCCTCCTCTACCCTCCAAAATAAAACTCCCAAACAAGTTTAAAATGAAATTTCTCTTCCCTTCCCTTCTCTTCCCCCTCTCTACCCTCCATCCAAACAGGCCATAAAGTTTCAAAAAGTTGTACTTTAGTACTCTCCTTTATGAAAACTTGATAATTTTCCCTTATAAATTCTCCTGCGACAGGCCGAATATCTCAACTCTTATTATTTGCTAAATTAACTGTGAGACCATTAAAAATCCTATTTTAGAGCAGGATTACGGTAGGTTTAAAATAGGATTTTGATAGTTTAATAGTAGATTTAACAAGTGATGAGGGTTAAGATACTCTAATATTTCAGTGCAACCAGATACATCCGGCGGTGTATATGTGCGAAGTAGGTGAAAGTATAGGGTATTAAGTGCAATTATTCATCTATACCTCCTTCAGTACATCTGCTTACGCATAAACCCCCTTCAACTTATTTATTAGCACTTGAGGGGGGCTATCAGCCACTGAAGATGTAAATGAAGAGGGTTATATGCGATTTACCCATTTTTATTTTGAGCAACAGAGGTTGTTATGGATTCTGCTACCAACAGTTTCTTTGCAAATCCAAGTTTAGTGTTTGGTTAAATATTCTTTGGATTTGCTTTTTTTTATTACACAGAATGTATATCTCCTTGTATATAAATTGCGTATCAGCAAAATGACAGACATTTTCTTACTTGGGATCTATTAGTTTGGTGACATTACGTACATTAATCTTTAAAAAAATTAATGCAAAGGAACTGCATTATTTGTTGTAGTCAAATTAATAGCAGTTGTGCACAAGTTTTTCTACAAAACTATCAACTATCCCGATGCTAGCTGAATATTGGAAATACAAGTTTGAGCGCATGTTGTTGTTTCGAAAAAAAAAAATTAGAATAATCATTCAATTTGTTGTTATTTACATACAAAATTATATATAGTGCAATCTAATTAGTAATATTCAATTTGAAATTTCCCACGTTTTCATTGCATATATAAAAATGTACGAACAGATGCATCCAAGTATTCACGTTGTGTAGGGCTAAGAAGTAAAAATGTATAGTTGTGGGAGAAAATAAGAAACATAATTAAATTAAAGAAAATGAAAAATGTGCAAATATATGTAGCTTTCATAGCTCAGTTGGTTAGAGCACCCGTTTAGTAAGCGGGAGGTCTTGAGTTCAACTCTCAATGAAAGCATAAATAATGTTTGAATGCATGAAAATTTTTATTTTATATTTTTGGGAGAAAATTATCCCAGAGTACACATAACGCAAATTTCATTTGCAAGTAATCCCCTTTACTTTAACGTGCATGATGTGTTTTATTCAGTTGGAATTTAAATTATCCTCAAGTACGCATAATACGAATACTGCCTCACGGTGGGTAAGCAAAGCAGTTATGCAAAGATATTCCAATAATTTAGCAACTCCGACTAATTAGGACCGTAATTTTTTTAAAATCGACCCACACACTGGCAACCCCCACTAATTAGGAGCTTGCCCGTTACGCTATTATAATTTAGCAGCTAAACAAGTCGGGGTTCGAAACCCCAACTAATTTAGTGTCTGCAAAATTTATCGGGGTTGGAAACCCCGAACATTTTTAATTAGGCTTTTCAAAATAGTAGGAGTTCCAACCCCAATCATTTAGCAAAGTGACCACCCTACACTAGAAATGATCGGGGTTGGGAACCCCGATCATTTAGTGCATAGCGTTACGGAAATTGACCCATGAGAATACCGACAAGTTAATGCTCTATGAACTGGTTTTAGATTTACTACCAGATATTTGCAGAGAATGGGAAGATATATGACGTGCTCGAGTCCCGATTATATGCCTTGAGATTGTCGAAATGCACGTGTCTGACCGTGTGCTCCGACAATTTGGATTATAACAACATATTTCAGATCCTGTAGAAAGAATAGAGCAAAATCCCCGAAAAAGGAGCACATCATGCAAATTGGGAAATAATTCGCCATTTTTACATTCAGAATTGGGAGTTGAGGGAGGAGGTTGTAGTGATGGAGAGGGCTGATGCACCACCTGACCTAGATGTGTACTTACAGTGATATTGGGGGATTACTCGCCGATGGATATTTCGGGAGAACAAAGCACCTAAGGATTATATACCGAGAGGTCCAGTTGAGAGAGAGTTAGTAAGTGTATAGGCAAAATATACAATTATTTCGTGATTATTATTTTATTATCATCAATTTGCTAATAATCAGCTTTTGCTTTTTATCTTATAGGTACAAGAACTCGATGAGGTTGCTTCTATTGCACATGATACATTGAGAACGACTACCGAGCCAGGGGCGAGGAACGCATTTGTTCGCATTATAGGAAAGATTCACTCCGCTCTTAGGAGGTCGCATAATGCGAAACGTGATGAACGTCTCATAGGGTACGAGCATCGATGGGTCCGAGGACACACGAGAGCAGCCTCAAGTCGTGCATATGATGAAGCCGGAAGCTCACAGCAAGCTCAAGCCGAATGTTTGCAGCAGGTTCAAGTCGATGAGGATGTCATGCACTGATCATCCGAGCTCATGATAAAGGTGAACAGGGAAGGGGAGAGGAAAAAGAGGGAGAGGGAGAGGAAAGAGAGTTCTAAATATTTATTAAATTTCGATATACTTTATACGATGTTTATGTTTGAAATGCTATGATGTTTACGTTTGAAATGCTACTGTGACTTGATTATCGTTGGATTTTTACTAAGTGAATTGAATGTTATGTTTTTGTTAAATAAATGTTATAGATGTAATGATTAAATAAAGATATGTGTTTATTTGTGTTTAAAATTGATTATGAGTTGATAAATGCGTAGCAAGAGAGTTGGTGCTAACCTTGTGGATTGATATGTATTAGCAAGGGAGGGGTTTTCCATCAAAGAGTATCTGCAAAATGGTCGGGGTTTCCAACCTCGACCATATCTGGTGTAGGGTGACCACTCTCTGCCTAACCCCAACCATTTCGAAACGCCTAATTCGAAATGGTCGGGGTTCCCAACCCCGACAAATTTTGCAGACACTAAATTAGTCGGGATTTTAAAACCCCAACTTGTTTAGTTGCCAAATTACAATAGCGTAGCGGGCGAGCTCCTAATTAGTCGGGGTTGACAATCCCGACTAAGACCGCAATTTTTTTTTAAATCAATCCACTTTCTAGCCACGAGGCTGGCGTGATGAGAAAATGGGTTGATTTTGACAATAAAGTTTGAAGTGAGACGATTTTTGGGAATAAAATTGGGAATGAGTTCATTTTGAAAATTTCTTCAGTTTGAAACTAAAAGAGATAACATGTCATGGTACATTGTACTCGGCAAGACGTTACAAGCTTGAGCAATCTAACAACAGGATACAGATCACGGAGATGGTTTTCTGCTTCTTTTTCTTGCAGTTTTAGCCAGAGCATCATATATCAACTTCTTGCGCTTCATAACGTCATCTGCCTCCTTAGCTTGATTTTTTGGTTTGGTAACAGAATTTCTGGCTTGATTCTCCAGCGCACCTTTCACAAAGAATTTGAGTCTCCATAGTGTGATTTCATTCTGCAGCAAAACAAATTGGAAGTTTTAATCAGTTAAGACAAGAAAAAGTCCGACATTTTGAAAAGGTTAACTTTATGTTTTAACATGTTCGAGGTTGGGTATCATTTTCATTGGATGAAACTTGAACTCAGACAATGGTGTCTTTTTTAAATTCCGCCTTAGCTGGTGAGATTTGGACTAGGTTGCCCGGGCATCATCATATTAAAGTCTCTGCCACTGCACTAAAATTTCGAGCTGTGGTGATGGTTGAAGGTTATAATATTATGTAAATTGCAGAAATCCCACAATACTATGAAGGCCTGAAAAAACTCAACCCCCGTAGAGACTTGTTTTACAGTAAGTTGAGAAAGGAAATAAGGGAATGAGTAATCATTTATAAAGAACGCATTAACTTGTAAGTAAGATAACTTTTATTAACTTAAAAAGCAGAAACATCTCGGTGAGTACTTGCTTTGAAATAGGAAAAAATGCCAATGTCACTCGTGCCGAAAGACAAAGACCTTTTCTTATTTGAAAAGCCATATGCTCGAGTTGGTGTCATTAGGCTACACAAATGGAATATGGTTGACAATTCATGGTACCAATTTTAATTTTGAAATGAAGTCTTTCCCTCAAATACCATTCTCTATTCTAACAGTACTACTGCAAGCTATTAAACACGTATGCCAATGCGTTTTCAATTCAGATTGTTAAGATATAATAAATTATTCTAAAAAAATTCAATCCTGATATAGCTATTTAAAATGCTCAAATTGCTTTAACGATAATTTAACTTGGTACTATTCACTGTCCAGTTATGTAAAGGAAGGTAAAACATGAACAAAAGTTTATGATAGTCGAAGGTGTTCCAGGAAAACAAAAAGGTATGAAGTCCTATTAAATAAAGTTGGTGATGACATGCTTTTCCTTTAGATTTCATTCGTTCATAAGCAATAAGATAAAAAGTTTGACATCAAGGTAGAGTGAACAACCTGAGCGTCAATGTCGATGTCCACCTCTTCAGTTGCATCTTGGAAGTTTGGATTCTCTTGAGCAATAATCTCTAGTGCCTTGAAAAGATATTCAGGACATAAAGAGGCAATCCCTGAACTAAGTTTCCTTTTCTCCTCCGTAGTCATTTTCCTATTGAAACATTTTCAACGTTAGTCATCCATACACTGTATCATGGATCTACCTTTTTCTTTTCTTTCTTTTTTTTTCTCAAGGAGTTTAAACTAAATAAATCCATGCTAAATGACAGCAAGCAATGTGCTGGACAGAACTGCTTAACGAAGGAAATATGAGCTTCATACAGTGTGTATGAATTAGCCATTTAGACAGCTGATAGCGAGATGATTAATAATTATCGCAGCTTCAAGATGAGAAGGATAGAGATAACAATGTATACCCGAGCACAATCAACGAAAATGTTAGTGGTCCTTTTCTCAATGAAAAATAACAAGCATACCGCAACATGCATATATTCAAAATTAAAAGATTGTTTAGGAACAGTAATTAAATGAAATATAAAACTTTTTTTTTATTTTTGACAAATTGAGTACACTGATTTAGCTTGGAACGCCATCACCACTCCTGTTAAAATAGTAACAGCAGTAAGCTGCTGATGAAAGTAAGAGTTTACATTTTATCATGCTGACTGTGTACAACAGAAGCTCATCTTACTTTCAGAATCAAATATAAGATAAAGGAATTTAGAATATATGCAGACAGGAAGATGAAATATTACAAATTATTTTCCCTTTTCAGGTGAACTACAGAATTTTTAAACAAAGTAACACAAATATTATCAGTTAGCTTTAATCCAATCTTAATAATTAAATAAAATTTTAGTAAATATGTTTCTTGTTTACATCTTAAACATATCAGCCCATCACAGATTATAGTAAATGAAGGATCACCTCAAAGGAGAGGCCTGACTTAGTGGTACAGGGATGATAGTGGTAGATGAAAATTCCTGGTTCAAGACCTATAACTAACAAAGAGAATTGGACAAAAAAGAAAAGGCTAAATCAACATGGAACAAAATTAGTGTTAAATTTTAAGATTTTATAATTGTAGTTGACATACGCATGAAGGCAGCAAATTGGAACAAACTTCATTGGAAAATTACCTGCAGCTTTGTATCACCAACTCTCTAAGTTCCCCCAGATGCAAATTCAGCTGGTTAAGCTGTAACAATCAGACAAGCAAGTGTAAATACTCCGCATGGGAATTCCGCTAGTTAAGCTGAAGCAGTCAGGTAAACAAGTGTCAACACACTTATTTTAAGCTTTAAGGCCTAGACCATACTATCTAGCTGAACCAGTTCGATTAAGCAACTACTTTGACTTGGTTTAGTTGTGACCAAGATGAGCGTTCAGAATATCATCATCAAGATAGGTCACACCTTTAACAAAGATATTAAATACATGTTAAGCAATTTGAATTCAAATGCACCAGGCATAAAACAATGGTACTTTAAGAAATTTAATAAATTTTAACTTACAATGGTAGGATTATTGCTTTAACTACAAAAATGAAGAATGTGAGGAAATGTACAACCTCATTGTTTGTATCTCTAGCCAATTTTGCAATAGCAGCCTCTTGAGCACTCTGCATAGTTGTTAGTGCCTGTGCCTCCTCATCTTTTTGTCTTTCTTCCTGTTACATGATATATTATAGCGCTTGCATGGATGGATACTGAAAACAAATAAGACAGTATTCAAAGAAACTAGAGACTAAAGTTGTTCAGAGTTTTAAATGGTCCTGGAGAGATTGAGCAGATGGCAGACTGGAGCAGGTACTGATCCTTGCCATCGATAAATACCAAAATTAGATTGATGAAGTGACTTACAGCATCAACAACTTTATGTATCAGTTGCAGCCATTTCTCTTCAAATCTTTCCAGCAGAGTTCTCGCCATCACATGAATATCACTCTTATCATCATCATTGTAAGTCATGGCGTTCGTGAAAACTAGTCTCACATCAGCATATATTTCTCTAACATTCTTATATACATTGGCGTCCATCTGTTTCCGGATTGTAGAGAAGTCCATGGGCTTCTTAACGATCTAGCGTCCATGAATACACAAAAGAAAAAGGCTCATGGTTATGTTTAGTTCATAACATGAGGATTCCTAAGAAATCATGTCACTTCGAAGCTGAACATTAATATTATTAGAGGTACCCTTTTCATAGCTTTACATATCTTAGCATATGTCGATAAATTTCATTATGCTTGTATAATAATGATGCCTAAATTATAAGACCTATTCCAGTTTCTAGCATCTAACGTTATTTATATTCTACATCCAATTTTCAGGAAACCATCATTTAAACATGTTGTGACGTCAAATATAGGAAAACATATTATGTGATCACAATATTTTTATGAGGACCCATTATTAGGCCTGTCCAAACAGGTTGGCCCGGCCCGGAGCGGCCCGAATTTTCGGGTCCGAGACGGGCAAAATGCCTAGCCCGGACCCAGACCCAGGGTGCCCGGGCCAGGCCCGGGTCCAAGTCCAGGCCAAATTGAGCCGGGCTCCAGGCCGGCCCGGATTTTTTTTATTTTTTATTTTTTTTTGCAAAAAATTGCTACAAAATTAGAATAATTTTATTGTATTTATGTAAGTATGTATTAGTATATACTTACATATTAGTATATAGCTATATATTATATATGCATATATTATATTGTATATACTTACAAATTATAACTTGAGAGAGAGAGAGAATCACATAAGTATATATTACTAATTGTAAATATGTATTATATAGTTATATATGTATTTGTTACATACTTATATTATGCTTATTTAAGCATAGTTATATACTTTACTTATATGATATACTTATATATATATATAGTAGATGCAATATACTTATATATAATTATACTTATGTACTTATATAAAATATACTCAACTATAAGTCTACAAATACACATATAAGTATACTTATAACTAATTATATATATTCATATACTTATATCTTAGTATTAGTATATATACTTACATATTAGTATATAGCTATATATTATATATGCATATATTATATTGTATATACTTACAAATTATAACTTGAGAGAGAGAGAGATAGCTATATATTATATATGCATATATTATATTGTATATACTTACAAATTATAACTTGAGAGAGAGAGAGAATCACATAAGTATATATTACTAATTGTAAATATGTATTATATAGTTATATATGTATTTGTTACATACTTATATTATGCTTATTTAAGCATAGTTATATACTTTACTTATATGATATACTTATATATATATATAGTAGATGCAATATACTTATATATAATTATACTTATGTACTTATATAAAATATACTCAACTATAAGTCTACAAATACACATATAAGTATACTTATAACTAATTATATATATTCATATACTTATATCTTAGTATTAGTATCTATACTTACATATTAGTATATAGCTATATATTATATATGCATATATTATATTGTATATACTTACAAATTATAACTTGAGAGAGAGAGAGAATCACATAAGTATATATTACTAATTGTAAATATGTATTATATAGTTATATATGTATTTGTTACATCCTTATATTATGCTTATTTAAGCATAGTTATATACTTTACTTATATGATATACTTATATATATAGTAGATGCAATATACTTATATATAATTATACTTATGTACTTATATAAAATATATATATATATATATATGTGTGTGTGTGTGTGTGTGTGTGTGTGTGTGTGTGTGAGAAATATGATTCTAAGGATCCACCTTAGATTGAATCTAAGAATGCACCTTCAAAATTATAGTATACACAATCAATTTACTTGATCCACTCCGTTCATTTTGATCTAAATAATTTGGATGGCATATAAACTAAAAATTAGGCATATTGGGTTGTAGCTACTAATGCATCAAGTGATAGTAAAATTAACGGTTTTATGACAACACAACTAAAGAGACAATAAAAAATATGTGTTAGAAATACTCAAACATCATGATTTTTATTTTATAGATGTTTTAAGGCATTTAGATCATGATGAATGGAGCGGATCGTCTATTGAAATAGCCCAATTGATACATTGAGTGGTACATCCTTAGATTCAATCTAAA